AAAATTGCAGTTTTCGGTCGAATTTCGGCGATTTTTCTGGATTTTTCCAGAATTTTCGCCTATTTTTATGGAGTCTTTGCCAATTTTTCAAAAAAAAAAGTTAAAAAACACCGATTTTGGCACAAAAACACTAAAATTTGTCTCTAAAAATGCTGAAAATACCGAATTTTTGGCTCTAAAAATGTACTTAAAACTGAAATTTGGCTGTAAAATGTCAAAAATACAGATTTTTGTCTCAAAAATCTTCAAAAATGAACCAAAAACAATCAAATATCTATGAAAATGCGCGAAAATTTGAAAAAAAATCGGCTAAAATTCCAGAAAATTCCAGAAAAACGACTGAAAACTACAATTTTGGTACTGCTTGGCAGTAGTAAAAGTGCCACGTGGCATTTTTGCACCTGCCCAGCAGTACCAAAATTGCAGTTTTTAGTCAATTTTCGGCGAATTTTCTCAATTTTTCTGAAATTTCAGAGCTTTTCTAGATGAAAAATACGATTTCAGCATTCCTATCATAAATATTTGCTGAGAATTAGCCGAAAATTCGGAAAAAATGCCTGAAAATGACAGATTTTGGTTGAAAAACGGTTTAAAAATGCAAATTTTCGGCTCAAAAATTATCAAAAAATGGTTTAAAATGTTTGAAAAACGGGGTTTCCAGCGATTTCAGAGTCAAAATCTCAAAAAATACAAATTTTTGGCTCTAAAAATGCATTTAAAAACTGAATTTTGGCTCAAAAAATGTCAAAAATGCGGTTTTTGGGTCAAAAATTACACTAAAAAGAGCTAAAAATCATAAAATCCAGTTTTCCTGACTCGAAATCGCTCAAAAATGGGCGAAAATTAAAATTCCCAGCGCTTTTTTCAGTGAAAATCTCGAAAAAATACAATTTTTGGCTCTAAAAATGGTAACAATACAGATTTTAGGCTTAAAAATCAAAATTTTTCAGCATTTTCTGTCTGAAAATCGCTCAAAATGATCGATTTGGAAAATTTTGCACCTGCCCAGGCAGCACCAAAAATGCAGTTTTTAGTCGAAATTTCGACGATTTTTCTGAATTTTTTCGCCATTTTTGCCGATTTTCATAGATTTTCAGCCGATTTTCTCGATTTTCAGTCAATTCTAGTCATTTTTCTAGAACTTTCGATAATTTTTATGGATTTTACGGATTTTTTCTGGCATTTTCTCTGCTCCCATACTTTGCGCCGCGGTTGACGTCGACGTGTTCAACGCAGTGTCCGACGACGATCTCTGAAGTCCTGCAGGTCCGGTTTCCGATGCCACAGGCTGGTATTGCGCGACGTCGAGCATTGTTTGAGCACGTCCGAATCCTGGAGTAACAACTGGCACCGTCTGCACACTGGGTACGGTCGGCTGTTGGGTCTTCGACGCGGTCTGACCCATTTTTTGGCTAAAAATGTTTTTTTTTTATTCAAAATTTTCGAAAAAAAATTTTTTAAACGAACCTTATGATAGATTTTTGATTTTTCTATTGGTCGCTGTGTGAATCTTTCGGTTCAAGCGATCAGGCGAGCATCTAAAAAATAATTTCAGAAAAATTTTTTTTTTTCGATTCTCATTCAAAGTTTCCGGTCAGACAGGGCATAAATCAGACAGAATATCAATTAGAAATCGAAAAATTTGAAATTTATGTGAGAAAATCGGAAAAAACGACCCGAAAAAGTCAACAAATCACATCGCGCGCGCTCCAAAAACAAACAAAACAGCACTTGTCCGAGAGGAGTACACGGCGCGCTCCCTTTTGAGACTCCGCGCAAGACTTGCGAGCATGCGCCTTTAAAAGAAATGGATTACGGTCATTGAAATTTATTGACTTTTTATTTTTATCGAGAATTTCAGAAATAACCCGTTTAAAATTGGTTACCAGTGACAGAATTTTAAGTAAAAAATTAAAAAAAAAGAGAAGAAATATTTAAGAAGCCAGATGTTCGTCTTTCTCCCAAAGACTTCCGTAATGCATCCAACCGACGGAAGTATTGGATCTTGTCAACGTTGGCTCGCCGCTGAGCCTCGCCACGATCTCATCTACAGCCAGCCCAGCAGTTTCCAACATCTAAAAAAATTTTTAATTAAAAAAATTCAAATTTCCCGCCAAAAAATATAGTACCTGTGTATGCAAAATTGTCGCTAGAGCCGCACAACAAGTGGCCAGAAACAAGAACATGGAGAAGCCAAAGTGTGCACGGAGGGACGGGAACATGAAAACTTCGAGAACGGCGATGGCGATTGGTGGAACCTGAATTTTTTATTTTTTCAAAAATTTCGGATTTTTTGAAAAAAATTTATCTTTTTGAAAATTCACCAGGCGCCGCGCCACTTTCCCACTTGTTTATACCCGTCGTCCGCTCTGTATGCGTGTGCACGCGTAGTGTTGCGGTTTTGCTCTAGCCTATAGATCCAGAGGGTGGCAAGGGTTGTTGGTTCGACTCCTCACTCGGGTAAAGAAGTTTTTATTTATTTCTATGGAGTTGCAGATAAGTTTAAGAATGTCTTGAAGCCAATAAAAGCTAGAGGGCCGCATGACCAACTGGTTTTGTGTTTGGTTATGGATCTAGAGGGTAGCAAGGGTTGTTGGTTCGACTCGTTCCCCGGATAGAGGAGTTTTTATTTATTTCTATGAACTACTTGGCAAGTTTAAGGGTTCCTTGAAGCTAAACAAAGCTAGACGGCCGCATGGTCAAGTGGTCGGGGATTGAGGGTTCGAGGCTTGTGTAAAACCTTTTTCTTTTTTTTTCTATGACAGATTTAAGTTTTTTGCTCACCTGCGTTGCTTGCGAGACTTTTGCTCTTATATTCAGCGGACAAAGTTCGGAAATCATAATCGGCGCCATGACCAACATGCCCAAATTAACGGCAGCCTGTCCTAGAACAGCAGCCAAGCAGGCGAAAATCCAGCGAACATCGAATTTGAATCCAAAATTGTTGGCCATTTCCGGAATCGCCAATCCCAGCCATTCAAAGGCACATAGCCAGGTGAGGAGCACGAAAATTGGACGTCTACCGTATTTTTCGATGATTAAAGGAGCGATAAAGGAAATTGGAAGGGAAATGGCACTTATTACCATTATGGCGATTGTGGATTGGGATTGGGAGAGGCCATAGGAGATAAGGAGTTGAACGAGATATTGAGATTTAATGTTTAGGCCGGAGAACACGGGGACCAGCGAGCAAATGAAGACCAGGAATAGGGAAAATCTGAAAAAAATGTTTTTTTTTTGAAATTTCACGCTCATTAGATTCAGCAAGACTTACGAATTCCAAACTGTAACAATTTTAAAAATCGACCCAAAACTGAGCGAGTTACGGTCATTTTACACTTTTCGTGGTGGGACCCGAAACATGGAAACTCTCAGAATCTGGACATGATTATACTCATTTTGAAGCTCTTAACATGAGAAATGGAATGCTTTTTGAATTGTTCAAATCGACACAAAACTGAGCTCAGTTACGGTCATTTTACGCTTTTCGTAGTGAGACCCAAAATATGGAAACTCTCAGCATCTGGACATGATTATACTCATTTTGAAGCTCTTACACTGCTTATTTTGAATGTTTTTGAATTTTTGGATTTGGTTGAATACCAACCCAGTTATGATCATTTTACACTTTTCGTGGCAAGACCCAAAAAAAGTAAAATTTCGAAAAATTTAAAATATGGTCATGGTTCTACTCATTTGAATTGTCTTGTTGAGCTAATTCTAAAACTGCGAAAATTTTGAAAACTGACTCGAAACCAACTGAGTTACGCCCATTTTAAACTTTCAGTGGCGGTGGACCCAACCCCTAAAATTCAAAGTTTTGAGAACCTAGAATCATGATTATACTCATTTTGAAGCTCTTGACAGGATAAACTCAGATCTGTCAAAATTTCTAAAATTAACCTAAAACGAACTGAGTTACGGTCGTTTTACATTTTTCGTTGCAAGACCCAAAAATTGAAATTTTCAAAGGAACATGGTCATGATTATACTCATTTTGAAGCCCTGGATTTGCAGATTTTAATTTTTATAATTTAGATCAAATTACTCAAAAAATGAGAAAGTTATGCTCGATTTTTCAAATTTTTTAAAAAAAACATTTTTTTTTGTTCAAAATTTTTACCGATGAGTTCGATTTTGTAGAATATCCAAAATGCCATAGTTTCTCTTTGCCGCCTGTTTATTCTCATGAATCATCTCTCGAATCGTTCCATCGATCTCTTTTGGTCCCCCATCGCTACTGTAATAAAATTCCAGAGCTCGCCGAGCATTTTCTTCGTCATTTTTTTGAATGAACAAATATTTGGGACTTTGGGGAAGGAATACGGTAATTATCAAATGAATTGTGGCTAGTAGAGCAGTGATGCAAGGCAGGAGGAACCTGAAAAAAATTTTTTTTTTTTGAATTTTTTTTCACTGAATTCTAAAAATTCTGAAATATCTGAAATTTTGAAACCTGGTCATGCTTATGTTCATTAGGATTGGCTAGCTTAGCTGAATTCAAAACTGCAAAGTTTTTGAAAATTGACTCAAAACCAACCGAGTTACGGTCGTTTTACACTTTTCGTGGTGGGACCCAAATTAACAAAATTTCAAAATTCTGAGAACCTTAGCATGATTATACTCATTTTGAAGCTCTTAACAAGACAAACTTAACGACTTTTGAATTTTCGAATTTGGTTGAAAGCTAACCAAGTTACGGTCAATTTACACTTTTCGTGGTGAGACCCAAAATTCTCATAAACCAATATATCTAAAACCTAGTGATAATTATACTCATTTTAAAGCTCTTGACAGGACAAATTCAAAACTATCGACATTTTTGAATTTGAACTCAAACTGATCGAGTTATCGTCATTTTACACGTTTCGTGGTGAGACCCAAAATTTTGAAGTTTTCTAAATTTCTAGAACCTGGTCATGATTACAATCATTTTGAAGCTTTTGACCAGACAAACTCAACTGACATAATTTCAAAAATATAATCTCAAGAACAAAAAAGTTACACCCCAAAAACCAAAACACCACCTACCACAAATGTTGCGTCCCCCATACAGTAGGAAGACATAACGGGGTGACAAGAAGTGTCATGATAACGCCTCCAGAATTGATAAAAAGTGAAGAAAATCCACGTTTCGAATCCGGCGAACATTCGGCGATCCAAATAATTAAAACCACCCGAAGACCTTGGAGCATGCCGGCAATTAAGTGCCCAATTACGTATAATTCGAAACGGTTGAGCAGTAATGAGGTCAACATGAATAACGACCCAATTATGCCCAGGAAACTTCTGCAAAAAAATTTTGAAAAACAAATTTTTTTTTTGAAAATTAGGTACTTTCGTGGTGGGACCCAAAAAATGAAAATTCGGAGAACCTAGTCATGATTATATTCGTTTTGAAGCTCTTAACAAGACACATCGAATACTTTTTGAGTTTTTCAAATCGACCTAAAGCCAACCAAGTTACGGTCAATTTACACTTTTCGTGGTGGGATTTTAAAAAAATTGGGTACCTCAACAAAATTGTCTCCTTTCTCCCGAAACCATCCATCAGCCTACCCATTATTGCAAATGAGATTGCTAATCCAATGAACATGAATGAGGCGCATGCTGAGAATACGGTCTCGAAACTGCAAAAAAAAATGTTTCGTGGTGGGACCCAAAAAATTGAGTTTTCAAAATTTTTGAAATATGGTCATGATTATACTCCTTTGAATTGTCTTGTTGAGCTGATTTCAAAACTGCAAGAATTTCCGGAATTGACCTAAAAATGATCGAGTTATGGTCATTTTACACTTTTCGTGGTGGGACCCAAATTGCAAAACTTCCAATGTTTCAAAACCTAGTCATGATTATACTCATTTTGAAGCTCTGAACTTGCTTATCTCAAATTTTTTAGTTAAAATCAATTTTCTCCAAAAATGAGCAAGTTATGCTCAATTTTCCAAAAATCCTCCAAAAATGTTTGTTTGCCTAAAATAAGACACCAAGTTTTGTTTGTTTTTGATTTTTAGAAAATCGTATAAATAGTTTTTAAATGATCAAATTTCCGTATTGTTTCGATCGTTTTGAGGATCATATGATTTCACTTTTTTTCAGTATTTGCCAAAAATTTCGTAAAATGATAGAAAAGTTTTGGGCGGCTCTCTTATCAGTTCAAATGGGGGACGTCACTAGGTCAAATGTTTAAAAATAGAGCGAAAAAAGACTTCCGGGAAAAATGCTAAATTTTTCTGAAGCAAAAAAAAACTTTTTTTGAAAAATTTTAAATTTTGGGTCTCACCACGAACATTGTAAAATGACCGTAACTCGACCAGTTTTGGGTCAATTTTGAAAAATCTTGCAGCTTTGAATTTTTCATGTTTAGAGCTTTGAAATGAGTATAATCATGACTAGGTTCTAAGATTTTTGAAACTTTGGGTCCCGCCACGAAAAGTGTAAAATGACAGTAACTCGGTTGGTTTCAGGTCAATTTTTAAAATTCTTATAGACTTGAACTTTTCTTGTTTAAAGCTTCAAAATGAGTATAATCATGACTAGGTTCTAAGATTTTTGAAACTTTGGGTCCCGCCACGAAAAGTGTAAAATGACCGTAACTCGGTTGGTTTCAGGTCAATTTTTAAAATTCTTATAGACTTGAACTTTTCTTGTTTAAAGCTTCAAAATGAGTATAATCATGACTAGGTTTTGAAACATTGGAAGTTTTGAAATTTGGGTCCCACCACGAAAAGTGTATAATGATCATAACTCGGTTGGTTTTGGGTCAATTTTCAAAATTTTTACAGTTTCGAAATCAGCAAAATAAGCTAAATCGAATGAGTATAATCATGACGAGTTTCAAAATTTAAATTTAAAAAAAAATTCTTACCTTTCCTCATTATCGATTCCATAATTTTGTCTCAAACTCTCTCGAAAAAAGTCCTTAATTGGGACGTTCATTAGGTTCAAACACGCCGCCATTATTTCACCGTATTGCGAAAAAATCGCATGCGACAGTGTCGCCCAGAATAGCCGACGAGGGAGGAGGAGCATTCTGGAAAAATCTGAAAATTCCAAAAAAAAAATTTTTTTTTTGAGAAAAATCAAAATCAATATTAATGTAGGAAACAAGTAAACAACAATTTTAAAATCGAAATTTGGTGAAAAAAGATTTTTCGGAAAATAGCAAAACAATTTTTTTGTCTGAAAATTTTTTTTCTTATCACTTTTCTAGCTCCGCCCCCTTTTTCCCTGTCCCTATTTTTATCATCTCTATGTATATTTTTAAATCAAAAAATCAACGAAAAACGTAAATTTTCTGATAAATTGATAAAAATTTTTGAAAAAATCAGCAAAAAACTGGTCAGTACCAGTTAGTTAGCTTAGCTAGCAATTTTTTTATTGATAATTTACCGCAAAGTTTTAAGGAAAATTTCAAAATTTTTAAAAATCAAAAAATTAGAAATTCAGAAATTCGGAACTTCAGAAATTCAGAAATTCCGAAATTCAGAAATTCAGAAATTCAGAATCTCATAAATTCAGAAATTCAGAAATTCAGAATCTCAGAAATTCAGAAATTCAAAAATTCAGAAATTCAGAAATTCAGACATTCAGAAAATCAGAAATTCAAAAATTCAGAAATTCAGAAATTCAGAAATTCCTAAATCCAGAAATTCAGAAATTCAAAAGTTTAAAAGTTCAAAAATTCAGAAATTCAGAAATTCAGACATTCAGAAAATCAGAAATTCAAAAATTCAGAAATTCAGAAATTCAGAAATTCCTAAATCCAGAAATTCAGAAATTCAAAAGTTTAAAAGTTCAAAAATTCAGAAATTCAGAATCTCAGAAATTCAGAATCTCCAAATTTCAAAAAAATTCAACAAAACTGAAATTCTAACTTTTCTAAAACTTTTTTAAAAATTTTGTCAAAAAATCGAAAAAAAATGAAAAAAGTCTACAAATTCTTCCTTTTTGTTCTTTTTTGCACTTTTCTTTGTCCCTTCTATCTTTTTTCTTATCAGTTCTTCTTCTTTTATTGTCTATGACAAATTACAAATTTTCAGACCCCTGATCAGTCTGAAAAAACTTTAACTGAACTTTAAAATGTCTAGTTCAAAGTCTGAAAATCTGAAACGAATTGAGAAATTAAATTTTTTTGAATTCTGAAAATCCAGAATTCTCGATTTTCTCGCAATTTTTGGAATTCCTTCTGTATCTGAAAATTCTGAAAATAATGCCTAAAAACATTAAATCATATATTTCAACGAACTGAAAAAATGAGGATAACAAAAAATAAGTGGAGAGAAAATTCTAGAAATTTTCAGACATAACGTTTTCTACAAAAATTCTTTAAAAAAAGGACTAAAAATGCAACAATTAAATGCCCAACATCTTCTTCATCTGTCTACCGTACTCTCTCGTTTTCTCTGCCGTCTCTTCTGTGTTCCTATACGTTTTCCACATCTCTCCAAACTCCGCCAACGCCTTCTCATCAGTTTTAAGGCCCGAGCTCTTGGCCTTTTCAATCAAATCCTCCAATTTCGATTTGGTTGTGGAGCCGTCGAATTCCACTTGGAGGTTGTCGGATCGTTCCTGGAACATATTGTAGTTTGTAGTGTGATTACTGAGGCGGAATTTTGAAAATTTTGAAAAAATTATTTTTTAGACAATTTTCGAAAATTGTGAATTCGTGGTTCTAAAATGTCGCAGTTCTAAAATGTCCCGTTCTAAAATGTCGTGGTTCTAAAATGTCGGAGTTCTAAAATATCGTGGTTCTAAAATGATCAAGTTCTAAAATGTCGAGGTTCTAAAATGTCGCGGTTCTAAAATGTCGAGGTTCTAAAATGTCGCGGTTCTAAAATGTCGTAGTTCTAAAATGTCGTGGTTCTAAAATGTCGCGGTTCTGAAATGTCGGAGTTCTAAAACGTCGCGGTTCTAAAATGTCCCAGTTTTAAAATGTCGTGGTTCTAAAATGTCGAGGTTCTAAAATTTCGTGGTTCTAAAATGTCGTGGTTCTAAAATGTCCCAGTTCTAAAATGTCATTTTAAGCATTTTTTTCAGGTTTTTAGATAATTTTTTTTTCATAAAATTCTAGATAATTTCCGGATTTTTTAAAATTTTTAATTAAAAAATTTTTTTTGTTTATAAAAAAATTTTATAATTTTTAAAAAAAATTTTTATAAGTTTTTAATAATTTTTATTTTTTTTAATTTTTTTTTCAATTTTTTTAAATTCCAAATTTTCTAAGCTTACCTTAAGCTCCGCCCACGCCTCCTGCTTATTGGCCTCGTGATACAGTACCGTGAGCAGATAATGAGCATAATCCAGATTCTGTTTGCGTGTATGACACCTATCAGTGATAATCGTCAGTTTTCCCGTCTCCTGATTATATCGATTTCCAGCCAGACGAACCAATTTCTCCGCCGCGTTTTCAGACAATTTCAGAGAATCGACATCGACGATCATAGTGATAACACGGCTTCTGATATCTCTGATATTGGTTCCCTGATGGATGTAGGTGGAGTATTGGACAGAGATCGGGAGCAGGGATGGGGTTAGCGAGGCATCAGACAGCAGTTCTGGTGGGTAGGGAGTGCAGAATTCTGGAAAAAACCAACATTTTCAGAGTTTTTAGAGAGCTGAAATTTCCATTTTTACGGGGATTTTTGCTTCGAAAAATTGGGTTTTCATGATTTTTGGACTATTTTGAAGAATTTTCGAATTTCGTTTCGATTTTTTTTCTCCGATTTTTTGCAAAGTTCTTAGACCTTTTCAAGTTTTTCAGCTATTTTTGACAATTCTTTTTCGATCATACTTGTACAATTACGGGCTGGCCGGGCTTGGGGAAATTTTCAAGGCCCGGGCCCGGCCCGGGCTATGAAAATTTCCAAAAAATTACATTTTAGAACTACGACATTTTAGAACCGCGACATTTTAGAACCGCGACATTTTAGAACCACGACATTTTAGAACTACGACATTTTAGAACTACGACATTTTAGAACCGCGACATTTTAGAACCGCGACAATTTAGAACCACGACATTTTAGAACCGCGACATCTTAGAACTACGACATTTTAGAACTACGACATTTTAGAACTACAACATTTTAGACATTTTTAGGTAAAAAGAAGCTTATTTTAGTAATATTTAGCTGAAAAATAGCATTTTTCGCCCATTTCCACCCGATTTTCCCCCCTACTTTTGATAGCTTCACAGTGTTGTTGAACGGCAACAGGTGTCAAATGAAGGAAATTGGGAATTTTGACGAGCTCCAAATTGCCCTCCTTCTTAAAAGGCGCCCGTTTCTCAACATTCGGTCTGGATCCCATTCGAACTGGCAACGGGACGACACTCGATGCAAAAGTACGTGCCGCCGGCCAGATATCCGACCATGTATGCTTCTCCGGATCCATTTCCTCGCTTCTCGGCGGTCGTTCGGCCAGACGGTCCATCAGGTCGAATCTGCTTCGAGTCTTGACTTCGGCACGTCCTGTCGCCTGTTCTAGCTGCGTTTGACCGCGCAATTTTCGTTTTGGCATCACATAGAGCTCACGGAAGTCCTCGCCCTGCAAAAATGGAGATTTTAAGCCTAGTTTTGGTCTTCAAATTCGCCTTTTTCGACATTTTTCAGATTAGAAATACGTTTCTTTTCGATTTTAACGCCTTAAAATGGTTCGAAATCGCCCAAAAACACTTCAAACCTCGAAGAATTTCAAAATGCGCCAAAGGCACGCCATCCGCTTGGAAATCGCTTATTTTCAGGCGATTTTTCAATTTTAAAGGTCAAAATCTTGAAAATAGCTGAAAATTCTGGAATTTCAGACAAACATTGACCAAAAAACGCCTGAGCGGATTTCCAAGCGACTACGAACTACAAACTACAGACTACGAACTACAAACTACAAAACGCCTTAGCGGATTTCCAAAATGAGCGGATTTCCAAGCGTCTGGCGCGCCTTTGGCGCGTTTCAAAATTCTTCGATTTGAAGCATTTTTGAGCGGATTTCGAGCAATTTTTGGTATGTTTTCCGCTAAAATCACAACAAAAGGTTATTTTTCGCTTTAAAATGGTTCAAAATCGCCCAAAAATGCTCTAAAATGACCCAAAAACCCTTCAAACCTCGAGGAATTTCAGGCGCACCAGTCGCTTGGAAATCGCTCTTTTTTCCGTGGTTTTCCCGATTTTGACCAAAAAAAACCGATAAAATCAAACAATTTTGACCAAAAACGCCTGAAAATGAGGAAATTCCAAGCGGCTGGCGGCGCACCTTAGGCGCGTTTTGAAATTCCTCGATTTGAAGCGTTTTTAGGTCATTTTTAATGGAGTTTTCGTGATTTTGGTGGATTTTAAGTCAATTTTTGTGATTTTCAGCTCGATTCAGCTCAATTCTAAGTCTTTTTTTCCGATTTTAGCTGAATTTTAGGCTGAAATGCCTAAAATTCAAAATTTTCGAAATTTTCAGATTTAAAATGCTTAAAATTCAAATTTCCTCTGCCCTACATTCTCATCCTTCGCCGTCAACGATCCAGCCGCCATTGCTTGCTTCGATTTCCCATAATCCGCGCCGCCGACCGCATTTCTCAATTTATCGGCAAGTGTCGACTTGCTCCGTGTGCCAATATGGCTTAGGCGGTGCATTTTACCTGAAAATAGCGAAAAATTCCAGGAAATTCCAGAAAAAAACCAAAAAAATCGGTTGAGAAAGACTGAAAATGAAGAACCAGCGCTTTAATTCTCTTCTCCTCGAGGACTCCACCAGCTGCTGGCCTAGAAACTCCTTTCTAGTCCCCGAGAGGTTTTCCGGCGGGAGTTTTGAATTTTGTTGAATTATAATGATTTTTTCAATAAATTCCGTTAAAAATGGAGGTTTTTGACACTGTAAAAGAGGTAAAAACCGGATTTTTTTGAGAAATTATAGATTTTCAAGGTTTCAGACTCTTCTAGCCATCATTTCCGACGGCGGCGACGACGAAATCCACGTGGAAAAGCTTGTGGCGATTGGAGGGCTGATTAGACCGGATGTGGTGGCGACTGTACGGGATTTTCCTGGAATTTCAGCCGAAAAAATCGACAATTTCAGGCTTTCCAGCTAATGGAGCGTCAAAAAGTGCGAGAATTGATCGTTCCCGCGTCGGAAATTCGCCAAAAAGCGCGAATTTTCGAGGATTTTCAAGAAAAATCGATATTCGACTGGAAGAGTGAATGGGAATTGAGGAGGGGGAAAAGAAAAAGAAGAGGGATGGAGAAGTATCGAGAGACGCAGACAAGACGAAGCTTTGTGGAGGTGGCTTTTTTTTGGAATTTTTGAAATTTTCAATTTTTTTTAAATTCGTCACAGACTGCAAACTACAAACTACAATTCTAGCTTATTTTCAAATTCTCTAAAATTCAAAAAATCTGAATTTCCGAATTTTAAAAAATTTTTCAAATAGACTTTTCCAAAAAATTGTTTTTTTATTTTTTAAAAATTCCTCACCGACTACAAACTACAGACTACAGACTACAAACTCCAAACTACAAGTCTAGCTATTTTTAAATTTTTGAAGTTCAAAAAATTCAATTTTTTGAATTTCAAAAGAATTTTTAAAGTAGTCTGTATTTTGTAGTCTGTAGTTTGTAGTTCGTAGTTTGTATTCCGTAGTTTGTAGTCTGTAGTCTGTATTCAGTAGTTCGTAGTCTGTATTTTGTAGTTTGTAGTCTGTAGTTTGTAGTTCGTAGTTTGTATTCAGTAGTTCGTAGTCTGCATTTTGTAGTTTGTAGTTCGTAGTCTGTAGTTTGTAGTTCGTAGTCTGTATTCTGTAGTTTGTAGTATGTAGTTCGTAGTTTGTAGTTTGTAGTCTGAAAAATTCAAATTTTAGACAATTTTCGAAAATTCGAATTTCAGCATTTTCACATTTTTGAATCTTTATTTAAAAATTTTTAAAAAATTTTTAAAAATTAAAAAATTAAAAAAAAAAATTTTTTAATGAAATTTTTTTTTAATTCTCAAAAACTACAAACTACAATTCTAGCCAATTTTCTCCACATTTTTCCAGGTCGAACATGCGAAAAAGAAGGCGACTTTCCAATTCTTCTACCCAAACATCCACTATTGCCCTTGTCGATTCTTCCAGAAATCGGTGCTGGAAGCTCAGACCGATTGGATATGTGTCCACATTTTGGCTTATCATTTTTCTCGGAAATTCGAAAAAATCGAGAAAATCGATTGTAAAATCGAGATTATCGAGAATTTGAGCAAGATTTTGGTGCGATCTGTTCTTTAGAATTGGGATTAATTGATTAATTGATTTTTAATAAAAATTAGAAAAACATTTTTTCGGTCCAAAGAAGTCCTAAAAGTAAGACTATCAAACAAGAAATCCTGAAAAAATTAAAAAAAATTTTTTTTTTTTAATTTTCAATTTTTTGTTGAGAACTTCAAAAAATGTCGATTTTTGCAATTTTTAGTTTTTTTTAGAAATTCAAGACTTTCAATTTTTGGAAAAATTCGAAAAATTCAGAATTTTCGAAATTTCGAAAGTTGAAAAAAAAACGCGGGAAATTCAGAATTTTCAGCCTATTTTTGAGCAATTTTGATGCACAAAACGCGCTGAAATTTATCAATTTTCAGTCAAAAGTGGCCTTTTCTGGCGCTTTTAAGTCAAAAATTGGGGTTGCTTGACATTTTTAGAGCCAAAATCGGTCATTTTTGAGCGATTTTAGTGCCGAAAAACGCTGAAATTTATGATTTTCGAATTTTTTTTTCTGAATTTCTAAACTTCTAAAATTTCTAATTTTAGTTTTTCAAAAATTGAAAATTTTTGCACATTTTTAAAGCCCAAATCCGGTAATTTTTTGAAGCACTTTTCAATGATTTTCAGCACGAAAATTGCCTTTTTTTTCAAAAACGCGCCACAGGCACGCCAGACAGGCCAATTTCAGTCAATTTTCGATGCTTTTTTAGGGATTTTCAGCCAAAATTTAAAAAAAAATTTTCCGACGAAATTCATATTTGATTAACAATGATTTTAAAAATGTGAACAAAACAAGAGAAAAGAGCCAACAGTAACAATTGTTTAATGAATTCGAAAAAAGATCATTTTTGAGCGATTTTAATGGAGAAATAGCTGAAATTTAGCATTTTCAGCGAAAAAACAAAAAAGAGATTTTAATAATTCTCAGACGAAATTTGAGCCGAAAATTCCTATTAAATTTGAAAATCATAATTTTTTTAAGCCAAATTTCAGCGTTTTTAAGCGATTTTAGATCATTTTTGAGCCAAAAAGCAGCCAAAATCGACCGTTTTCCGAGATTTCGACTCTGAGAACGCTGAAAAAATTTGTTTTGCAAAAAAGAATGTTTTACGGATTTCTGGGTCATTTTTGAACGATTTTAGCCTAGAAAAAGCCAAATAATTCGAATTTTGAGGCAGAAAGAGCTGAAATTAATGATTTTTAAGGCATTTTTCCATAATTTTCAGTTCAAAAATTTTGGAAATTTTTCAGACAATTCATATTTGATTAACAATAAAAAGATGAACAAGGACAACAGTAACAATTGTTTAAAAAATTCAAAAAAAAAGGTCATTTTTGAGCGATTTTAATGGAGAAAAAGCTGAAATTTAGCATTTTCAGGGCATTTTTCCTGGATTTTCAGCTCCTCAAATCACACGACTTCCTTTGACGACCTCCTTCACGGATCGTTTCTCGACAACCTTCGACTTGAGACTCGTCTTCAGCTTCTTCGCCTTCGTTCCACCGATCGGAAGCATGTTTCTTCGCTGCAAACTCTTCATTCGATCGTCCAACACGTGTCCTTGCGGCTTGATTTGTCGCAAATTGCCAGTCAGCTCCTCTTTCAGCAAGAACGGATCCTCCGCCTCAACAAACGCGCCACGTCCGAGCTTCTGTCGTTTCGTGAGCTTATTCAACAGCTTCTTCTTCTTGCGAGCCTCCGATTCCACGTGGCGTTGCTTCTCCTCCTCGTCGAGCTCTTTGTGCAGTTGTTTCGTGCTGGAAATTGGCGTTAATTAATTAATGGTCAATTAAAGTTTTAATTCATTTTTAATTTGGATTTAGGTGTAATTAGCCAATTAAATTTAGGTGTAATTAGCCGGATTTAGGTGTAATCAGCCAACAAAAAGTGATTTTTGAACCGTTTTTTAATTTAAAAATACATCATTTTTAATTCGGATTTTGGGTTTAATTGGCCAATTAAATCGCCTAATTACCTACCGATAGACGTTATGCGAGTCCTGTTCTCTAGCCTTCTCCTCCAATCTCTTCTTCTCGTCCTTCTCCAATCCGGCCGCCTTCGCCTTCTTCTTTTTCTGCTCCTTCGTCATTCTCTCACATGTCACTGGTCCATTTTTGACGGTCTCTTCGGTGCCTTCCTGGGTTACTGTAGTCGTTGTTTCTTCGTCGTTTTTATTGAAGTTCGGATGGATTCGAAGACCTTCAGCCATCTCCAAGAAACGCTCGTGTTCCGTGGTGACCTGCGAAATTGCCAAAATTCCATAATTAAGTAAAATTTGTAAAATTTCGGGCCGGCCCGGAAGTCCCGGTATCAAAAACTCACTGTTTTTGAGCTCTTAAAATAATTTTCTCCAATTTTTTGAAATTTTCAAAACTTGTGAAATGGCGGGCCCGCGGGCCGGGCCGGGCCTTAGAAATTCAGAAAAAAAGGCCGGCCCGTTACAAGTATGCCGAAATTCGATGATTTTTGGTTATTTTTCAGCCTTTTTCAGATTACTGTAGATGTAAAATCTGGATTTTCAAATTTTCCAATGCCCTGGAGCATCCAAATTCAATTTTTTCAACCATTTTCAGCCTTTTTTAAGATTTCCGGATAATTTTTCGAGAATTTGCGATTTTCGGGGATTCAAATTTAGCTTATTTTAGACCGATTTCTGCTAATTTTGGGGTCATTTTTAACAAAAAAAAAAAAAACTTTTTAAAAAAGTCAAAATCACATTTTTAGGCCATTTTCAGACAATTAAAAAAATCTTTTTTTTGCTGGAATCGAACCTAGATCATTTTGGACCAATTTCAGCCATTTTTGGGGGCATTTTCAGTCAATTTTTATGGTTTTCCTTGCCGATTTTCGGTCAAAAGTAGTTGGAAAAATGGGTTTTGGCAGTTTTTTCAGATTTCTGGTTTTTAATTTTCTCGAATTTGCATTGATTTTTGGGGTAGTAAAACTGGATTTTCCTGTATTTCAAAATTCAAATTTCAGCGATTTCTCAAAGGTTTTTGCAATTTGTTTAAAATTTCAAATTAGCGGTTCTTTCCGAAAATTGAGCATTTTAAAGCTGAAAACGACTATTTTTACGCCAGAATAGACCATTTTAGGGCAAATTTTACCAATTTTCGGGCTAAAATAGACCATTTTCAGCGCATACCTGACCAATTTCGGACTGAAATCGGCCATTTTCAAGCCACAATATACAATTTTCGGACCTTACCTTCTCCCACTGCGGCTCGATTCCTCGCTTCGTCTTCTCCTCCGAATCAATCAGCCTCTGCTCCTCACCGGCGATCCGTGTGACGTATTCTTGATATTCCGAGGATTCTGGATTGTACGACGCTCCTCCCTGTGCCACTTCAACCGCCGGAAGCAGTGTCGTGATGGATTTTCCCGGCGTTTTCGGCTGCTTCTTTTTGACAACCTTCAAAAAGAGCAGTTAATTAATTTTAATTGATTTTAAGCGGACAAATCGCCCAAAATCATGGAAGACCCCATTTGAAATGCTTCAAACCTCGACGAATTTCAAAACGGCCAGCCTCTTTGAAATTGCTTATTTTTCGGGCGGTTTTTGGTCTTTTTTTTTGTCAAAAATTCCAATTTTGACAATTCAAGTTGTGAAAAATGGCTGAAAATCCGAGAATTTCGACAAAAATCGACTAAAAAAAGCACGAAAAAATAGCGATATCCAAGGGGCTGGGGTGCCTTCGGCGCGTTTTGAAATTCCTCGAGGTTTGAAGCATTTTCAGCTCATTTCAGTCGAAAATTGATCTAAAATTTACAAGAATCACTGCAAAAATGACTCAACAGCCACCGAAAAAATGGTAATCATCGAAAAATGATGAAGACTAAGTGGAAATGAGCTGAAAATCTCGAAAATACGGTTATCTTTGCCTAAAAATCGTTCAAAAACATGGAAAAACCCATTTGAAATGCTCCAAAATGACCCCAAAAAACGCTTCAAATCGAGGAATTAAAAAACGCGCCAAAGGCGCACCAGTCGCTTGGAATTCCCTCTTTTTTCGGGCGTTTTTTGGTCAATGTTTGTCTAAAATTCCAGATTTTCTAGTCATTTTTCCAATTTTGATCTTGAAAATTGTGAAAAACTCAAAAATTCTTAACTTCAAATTTTCCAAAGTTTTCAAGGGGGACTCCGGTCAAATTTTTTATTGCATTAAAATGTGTTAAAATTTATCTATTTTCCGAATATTATTGCGAAAAAATTCAAAAAAAATCCGAAATCCCCGAAAAACGCCGTCGAAAAGGAAAAAAATTCAAAAAAAGGTGCCGCAGAGGGACGAGAATTTTCAGTGAAAAACCTAGGCCACGGCGCGACTTTCTTACAGGACAATGTTTCCGGATTTTTTTCGCTTTTGTCCCCGACAGGTAAAAAACATTAAAAAACACTGTCGGCAACTTGAAAATAATGCTGTCAGGCGCCGTGGCCTAGCTTTCTCAATGCGCGGGAATTCAAATCCTCGTCCCTCGGCGGCACCTTTTTTGAATTTTTCTCATTTTCAACGGCGTTTTTTGGGGATTTCGGATTTTTTTTGAATTTTTTCGCAATAATATTCGGAAAATATATAACTTTTAACACATTTTAATGCAATAAAAATTATTGGTCGGAGTCCCCCTTTCAAAAAATCCCAAAAATCCAGGATTTCAAAAAATTGGGTAATTTGGAATTTCCGGAATTTTCAAATTCCAAAAAATTCTAATTTTTGAAAAATCTAAAAAATATAGTCCAGAATTCTCGAAAAAAAAATTCAGCCATTTTTTTCAGAAAATTTCGCAAATTTTTGAAAAAAAATAACTCAAAAACGCGCCAAAGGCACGCCAGTTTCTTGGGAATTGCTCATTATTCGGGCGTTTTTAGGTCGATTTTTGTCGAAATTTTCAGATTTTGATCTTGAAAAGTGTGAAAAATGCATTTAAAAAGACCAAAAAACGCCCGAAAATTGCAAAATTGTATAGTCTGGCGCGCCTTTGGCGCGTTTTGAAATTCCTCGATTTGAAGCGTTTTTCGGTCATTTTAGAGCATTTGAAATTGGATTTTCATGATTTTGCGCAATTTTTAGATTTAATACCTTCAAAAAGTGCTCCACCGCTTCCGGATTATCCAGCTTCTCTTTTGGAATCCGCGGCGTCAAATCTGTACTCCAGACGTCGAATTTCGGCTCCTTCTCCTGCCGTTTAGCCACTTTCTTCACCCCAGCCTTCAACTTCAGAATCGCATTGCCACGTGGCAGTTTCGCCGGCTTTTTGAGCACTTTTCCGGTGGGTTTCGGCAGGGAAACTTGCTCTTGAGTGATGTTTCTCGTGATTTTCTCCAGAGCCGCCTGCTGTTTTCGCGTTCTTTGGGGTTCTTCCGTCTTCTTGGAGGTGGGTAGACGATCGACGACAAAGATTTCCTCGTCCTTCATATCCTCCACAATTCCTCCCGTCGCTGCTTGATGAGAACGATCGTCTGGAAAGCATTTTTTGCATTTTTTTTTTTGAGATTTTACTAGAATTTTCCCGAAAATTTTCCGGTTTTTTTTCTAGAATTGCGCGCCAAAGGCGCACCAGCCACTCGAAAATTGCTCATTTTCCGGGCGTTTTTTGGTCTTTTTAAAGCCATTTTTTACACTTTTCAAGAGCAAAATCCAGAAATTTTTGACAAAAATCGAACGTCCAAAAATTGAGCGAATTCGGCTGGCGTGCCTTTGGCGCGTTTCGAAATTCCTCGATTTGATACTTCTTAGACTATTTTAGAGCACTTCAAATGGGGGTTTTTTCATGATTTTGGACGCTTTTTGATCATTTTCATGCAAAAATAACCGTATTTTCGAGATTTTCAGCTCATTTCAACTTAGTCTTCATAATTTTTCGATGATTACCATTTTTTCGGTGGCTATTGAGTCATTTTTGCACAGATTCTTGAATATTTTAGATCAATTTTCGACTAAAATGAGCTGAAAATGCTCAAACCTCGAGAAATTTCAAAACGCGCCATTTTCACATCTTTAAATGTCAAAATTGGGAAAATGACTGAAAAATCTAAAATTTTCGACAAAAATCGACCTAAAAACGCTCAAATGAGCGATTTCCAAGTGGCTGGCGTGCCTTCGGCGCGTTTTGAAATTCCTCGAAGTTTGAAGCGTTTTTGGGTCATTTTTTCGCATTTCAAATGGCTTTTTTCTTGATTTGAAGCAATTTAGGATCATTTTAAGGCGAAAAAGCACCTTATTTTTGTCATTTTTGGCTCATTTCAGCTTAGTTTTCATCTTTTTTGATAAATAACTTTTTTGGGCGGTTTTTGAGTTTTCAATTCGAATTTGTACGGAAAATTAGCTGGAAATATCAATTTTCAGCTCTATGCTCATGATTTTTTGAGAAAATTAACCAAAAATATGCTGAAAACTCCAGAAAACCCAAATACCGTAAAACCTCTAATAGAACGACACCCGGATCGTCCACTTTGAGCCTATATATCTCACTTCTTTTGAAAGATATCAAAAAGTGGTTAACTAGTAAAATGTTTATCAGGATATCAGCAATATTTTACTAGTTAGCCACTTTTTGATTTCTTTCACAGATACATTTCATGAATTTTTAGCAGAGAATTGCTAGAATAATCAATTTCCAGCAATTTTCAAACCGGAAAATCAATTTTTGAGCTCATTTTGCATGATTTCGGGCTAAAAATGGCTGGAAAACTCAATTTTCATCAATTTCTAGCTCAATTTTCGCGCTTTTTCCGCAAATTCCACTCACGAATCGCATCCTCAATATCGGTAATGTCCGTTCCCTTTCTCCAATACTTTTTGTTGTGACGCGAGCCTTTGGCAGCGCCTGTACGTTTCCCAGGTGCCATCTGAATGGAAATTAGGCTCCAATTTCAAAGAAAAAGGAAGAAAAATCACAAAAAATAGATAGAAAATCGGCTGGAAACCGAGAAAAATTTCGAAAAAAAGCGATAAAATAACGATTTTATAGGGAAGAAAGCTAGAAAAAACGGGGGAAAAATCTACGACGAACAGAAAATAAGGGAAAAATCAAAAATCGCAAAAAGAAATTATCTCCTGGCCATTCGGAAAAATCTGACGACGTTGACTTTGAGTGCCGGCCAAATGAGCTGCAGGTTTCGGCGATACCATTCTCTGCAAAAATTTCAGCAATTTTATAAAAATATTGAAAATAGCGTCTGAAAATTGATTTTTTCGGGATTTTTCAGTAGAAAAACGCATGGAAAATCGAATTTTTCAGCTAAATTTGGCACGAAATTTCGAAAAATCGCTGTAAATTTCACCTAATATTGAGAAAATCGTGAATAATGACTCAAAAACCACCGAAAAGTGTGCTAATCATGAAAATTGAATTTTTGAAGCCAAATTTTGCAGAATCCCTCAGCTGGAATGAGCTGAAAATCACAAAAATAAGCTTCTTTTTGCCTAAAAATGATTCAAAATGCCCTAAAACAGATCAAAAACGCTTCTAATCAAGGAATTCCAAAACGCGCCAAAGGCACGCCAGCCGCTTGGAAATTCGCTCATTTTTCGGGTGTTTTTCGGTCAATTTTTGTCGAAACTTTCAGTTTTTTCAGCTATTTTTCCAATCTAGTCCTTGAAAATTGCGAAAAATCGGTAAAAATCAGAAATTTTGAGAAAATAGTGGTAAATGACTCAAAAAAATACCGAAAAAGTTGACAATAAGGTGCTTTTTGCTTGAAAATGTTCAAAAATCGTCCAAAATCATTAAAAAATTCTAATAAAAATGCTCTAAAATGATCCGAAAGCTCTTCTAATCGAGGAATTTCGAAAAGCGCTGAAGGCACGCCAGCCACATGGAAATTTCTCATTTTTCGAGCGGTTTTAGGTCGATTTCCGTTTAAATTTCCAGATTTTCAGGTTGTTTCTCCGATTTTGTCTTTGAAAATTGGGAAAACTGGGCTTTAAAAATTTTTTTAATAATTAATTTTTTTCCCGAAAAACCATTTTTTTGGGGAATTTTTTCGATTTCCATGAATTTTCTGGCTATTTTAATCACGAATTCAAATTCCCGCCTAATTATCCACCCACTTATTATAAGCCATCATCGCCACATGCCGATCGTTGAGAAAATCGCGATAAAACTCGCTGAGCTCGTTCGCCGACACGTGTTCCAGCCGTCCCAACGCCTTCTGCTTCTTCTCGACGAATTCCGACTTTTGGCGATCGAACAGTTGATTGTGCTCGGCCCAAAAATCCGAATTCCACTGGTTCAGCTCTTCCCGGGCGGTGCGGTACTGCCGCTCGAGTTCCGACTCATTGTCAACGCGGCGGAGCCTTTAAAAAATTAAATTTCTAGTAAAAATTCCCAAAAAATTGAGGAAATTTGAGCGAAAATGAAGAAAAATGGGCGAAAAATATTTTTTTTCGAAAGGCTAAAAATTCGACAGAAAATTGCGCCGCGGCGTTGCAAGTCGACAGACTCCGCCCACTTTTCCGTGCCGCACCCGGAGAATTTGCAAAAAATATGCGAATTTCGTCAAATAAAACCGTTTTTCAGCGGATTTTCAGCGAATTTTCAGATTTTTTCTCACTCACATAATTTTGCGAATTTTCGAGACACTATCCGGCGGTCCAACCCAGTCGAAGCGTCGATCCATTCGCACATTAGACGATGAGGAGGAAAGAGAAGACATATCTGAAGTGAAAATTGGCAAAAAATTGGGAAAAAATTGGACAAAAATAGGGGTTTTCTTGGTGAAAAACCGAGATTTTAAGCTTGAAAAATTAAGAAAATTCGAAAAAATTGGGCAAAAAGTATTTTTTTTTCATCAACAAATTGAGTAAATTAACAAAAAAGCAAAAATAAAAGAAAATCAATAATTTATATCACAATCCTTCCGAATTTTCCAACGATTTCCGAATCAATTTGAACATTCGATCATATTCCGACATATTGTGACTGCAAAAAAAATTTTTTAATGCGAAAATTCAGAAAATCCTAAAAAATCATTTTAGAGCGATTTTTTGTGATTTCTGAGGTGAAAAACGCTGAAAATGGTGCTGAAATTCATACAAATCGATCTGGAAAGGTGAAAAATTGGAAAAAAAATGTTTCCTCTTTTTTTTAAAAACCGAATTTCCAGCTTTTTTCCAACTTTCTAGACTGGAAAAATCATGATTTTTACGATGTTCAGCATGATTTTTCGCTATTTTCAGGCTAAAATTCGTAAAACCCCCAAAAAATCGGACTGGAAAGTTGGAAAATTCGGAAAAAAAATTTTTTTTTCGAAATTTTTAATTTTTTCCAACTTTCTAGACTGAAAATTCACGATTTTTGCGATTATCAGCATAATTTTTCATTTTTTTTTCAGGCTAAAATATGTGAAAATCGCAAAAAAGAGTTTTCGGCAGAGTTCGGCCAGCGCGGCGCCTCCTAGGCCATGTCGATTTACGAGAGGGGAAAGCGGCGCTTTTAAAGGAATTTTCAAGAAATTTTAATTTTTTTCCATTTTTTAAAGTTTTTCAAAATATTTTCAGGTTTCATTTTCAAATAAATATAATTTTCCAAAAAAAAAATTTTTTTTTCAAAATTTTTAAAAACTTCAAAAATACTTTATTCATTCATTAGAGATCTTGATGGGTAAAGCTATAATATTGAGAATCATTTTTAAAAATCAATAAAAAATCTAGATATCCTTAAAAATCTCGGGATGCGAGTACTCGATGCAGTAGACGTCGAAGAGATCAGCGATTTCTTGTTTTTGACGACATTTCCAGATGTCTTCCTGGAAAAAAAAGTTTTTCTCTGAGTTTAGCTTGAAAAGAGCTTCAAAATGAGCCCAAACACGGCTATATTTGAAAAAGTTTGAAATTTTGAAGTTTTCGTGGTGGGACCTTAAAAGTGTAAAAATACCGTAACTCGGCTATTTTCCGACCAAATTGAAAGTTTTTTGCAGATTTGAATACAGCGTCTTTAGAGCTTAAAATGAGTATAAACACGGCTATATTTGAAAAAGTTTGAATTTTTGAAGTTTTCGTGGTGGGACCTTAAAAGTGTAAAACTACCGTAACTCGGCTATTTTTCGAGCAAATTAAAAAATTTTTGTGATGCGAATTCAGCTTAGTTGCAGCTTCAAAATGAGCACCCACACGCTTAGGTTTGCACGATTTCGAAATTTCGTGTGCGTCGGGGTCGTGCGTCGCGTGTCTTGTCGCGTCGCGTGCCGAAAATTTAAACGAACGGATTGAAGTCGTGTTTATACTCATTTTAATGCTTTTAATGTGGTAAGGTCAAAAATCAAACTTTCATCAAAATCCAATGACAAAACGAGGAAAGCTACAGTAATCCGAAATTTTCAGTTAACATGAGCAATCATGTAAAACTACCGTAACTCGGCTATTTTTCGACAAAATTGATAAATTTTAATAGATTCTCAGTCGGCTTGGTTAGAGCTTCAAAACGAGCCTAAACATGCCTATATTCGAAACAATTCAAATTTTCGAATTTTTGGGACCACCCCAAAAATTTTCAAAATTCAAGTTTTTCAAACATGGTTGTATTTAGGCTCATTTTGAAGCTCTAAACAAGCTAAACTCAAATGTGCAAAAATTTTTAGATTTGGTAGAAGAATAGCTGAGTTACGGTAGTGTTACACTTTTCGGGTCCCACCACGAAAATTCGAAAACTTTCAAACATAGTCATGATTATACTCATTTTGAAGCTCTAAAAAAGCTTAATTCAAAACTGCGCAAATTTTCAGATTTGGTAAAAGAATAGCTGAGTTACGGTAGTTTTACACTTTTTGGGTCCCACCACGAAAATTCGAAAACTTTCAAACATAGTCATGATTATACTCATTTTGAAGCTCTAAAAAAGCTAAATTCAAAACTGCGCAAATTTTCAGATTTGGTAAAAGAATAGCTGAGTTACGGTAGTTTTACACTTTTTGGGTCCCACCACGAAAATTCGAAAACTTTCAAACATAGTCATGATTAGACTCATTTTGAAGATCAAAACAAGCGAAATTCAAATCTGAAAAAATGTTTCGATTTGATATAAAAATCGCTGAGTTACGGTAGTTTTACATTTTTCAGGTCCCACGACGAAAATCTAGAAATGTTCGTGATGGGACCCAAAGTTCTTCAAATATAGTCGTGTTTATACTCATTTTGAAGCTCTTGACGTGCCATTTTCAAAAATGAACTTCAAATCCAATGAGCTCAGGAAAATAAATCACCTTGATCCAATTATTGATTCTCAGCATCAGGGACAGTCTGCCCGAGTAGTTGGGCATTCTCCATTCGTCCACATAAAAGTCGTGAAGATCGTCAGCCAGTTTTTTCTCGAATTTCTCACAAGTTTCGGCAATTTTTCCACTGAATCGCTGTCCGGCATAGTGGAAACACGCTTGACAAATCATAAAAGAGAGCTCAGCGTCGGATGGCTTCAAATCGACCATATAATCGACCAATTTGTACAGAAAACTGTTTTCCGTGTTGTCGATGAAGCTGAAAATTTGAATTTCTTGTTCTAAAAATTTGGTTTAAAACGCTCAAAAATCGATTGGAAATCCTCAAAGAGTTAGATGAGAGAGATTTTTTTGTAAAATTTTTTTTGTAAAACAAATTTGGTTTCCAGATTTTGAAACTTATAATTTCGAATGTATCACCTTCAGAGCTTTGAAATGAGCCTAAACATGCCTATATTCGCATAATTTTGATTTTTCGGAATTTTGGTGGTGGGACCCAAACTTTCAAAAAATTCAAATCTCTTCGAATACAGTCATGTTTATACTCATTTTGAAGCTTTTAATGTGGAAAATGCAACAATACCAGTTTTGTGTTTCAAAACTGAACTTTTACAAAGTTATGGTCATTTTACAACATTGCTCTTGTTTCGCCTCAAATATTCAAACTACCGTAACTCGGCTATTTTTTGGCCAAACTCAAAAATTTTTGCAGATTTAAATTTGGCTTGTGTAGAGCTTGGAAATAAGTATAAACAAGACTATATTTGAAACATTTTGAAAATTTCCCTATTTTGGGTCCCACTACGAAAATCGCCAAAAATCGACATTTTCAAACCTAGTCGTGTTTATATTTATTTTGAAGCTCTCAACGTTTCAAACTCAAATATCCCACTCACTGTTGCATCTGCTCATTACTGTACTTTGTACACCACGAATAGTCAAACTCGATTTTCGTCAGGTCCATTACAGTATACTCCGACTCGTGGCTAATCAGTAAAAGTTGATCTTCGCAAACTTTTCGTCGTTTTCCGTTCGCCGCGGTGGCCAATTTGTACAGTCTGGACCATACATGCCACATGGCTTGCATCATTTCGAGCTGAAACAAAATTTCAGAAAAAAAAAAAATTTCTTTTCAAAATTTTTACCTTCGTCTCCGTTTCCAGTTCAGTAAACTCGTTGTAATAGGAAAACCAGCTGGTGGCTTTTAAAAAATCCTGCTCAAAAAACGATAGCACTTCTTCTTTGCCATATTTGGTGACCAGCTTCACTGGTCCCGAAGTATGAGATTTTTCCATATTTTGTAATGCTTCTGCCAACTTTAAAAGGTTCGTTTTGCCTTGGAGCGGCGTTTCACTTCCCTGAAAATTGTATTTTCAAATTTATTAGGTCTAGAGCTTTGAAATGAGCCCAAACACGACTATAATTGCTTGATTTTGATTTTTTTGGAAATTTTTCGTGGTGGGACCCAAAATTTTGAAAAATTCCAAATTATGCAAATCTAGTCATGTTTATACTCATTTTGAAGCTCTAAACAAGCCAAATTCAAATATGCTACAATTTTTCAATTTGGTCAAAAAATAGCCGAGTTACGGTAGTTTTACACTTTCTGGATCACACCACGAAAACTTCAAAATTTCAAAATTATGCAGTAACTCTGCTAATTTAGGTCTGATTTTTAGCCCATAAAATTTTCTATCCAATAAGCCAGAAATTTCGAAAATTGGATAAAAATGAAGAAAGTTAAGAGGTGTTTTCGAAAATTGGTGAAAAAATGAGCCCAAAAATGTTGAGTCTACAGTAACTCTGCTAATTTAGGTCCGATTTTTGTGAAAAATGAATTTTCAGAATTGTCACATTTAGAGCTTTGAAATGAGCCTAAACTCGGCTATAATTGCATGATTTTGATTTTTTTTTTCTGGAAGATTCGTGGTGGGACCCAAAATTTTGAAAATTTCAAAACAATTTTCAAATATAGTCATGATTATACTCATTTTGAAGCACTAAACAAGCCAAAATGGAATCTGTACAAATTTTCCTATTCCGTCCAATAACATTCGAGTTAAGGTAATTTGACCATTTTTCATCAAAAATGAGCAATAATCTAAAACTACCGTAACTCGGCTGGTTTTCGATTTTTCTCTCTGAAATTTTTATAGTTTTGTTGAGCTTGTTAAGAGCTCAAAAACGAGTCTAAACTTGGCTATCTTTGAATAGAATCAGAGTTTTTGGGAGATTTAAAAAAATTTTTTTCAACAAACCTCCACAAAAATTTTTGTCGCCTTCTTCATGAGATCATTACAATCGATGAGATCCTTTTTGACTTGTACTTTCTCCGGCTTCACAAAAATCACACAGTGTGGGCGGCCCAGAAAACATTCCATGCTCTGAAATTTTTTTTACATTTAAAACTACTGTAACTCAGCTATTTTTTGGCAAAATTTGAAAATTTTTGCAGATTTGAATTTGGCCTGTTTAGAGCTTCAAAATGAGTATAAACATGACTAGGTTTGAAAAAATTTGAAAATTTGAAAATTTTCGTGGTGGGACCCAACATTTCGAAAAACTCAAAAGTTTTCAAATATAGCCATGTTTATACTCATTTTGAAGCTCCAAACAAGCAAAACTTAAATCTGCAAATCATTTTCCAGTTTGCACAAAAAATAAGGAAGTTACGGTAGTTTTTCGTCAAAACCAACCTTTGGAACTTCCGATCCTTTGAACTTGGTGCTGATCGGATCGCGGTCGAATTGAAAGTCTTAAAATTGAAGTTTCCGGGTTACTGTAGTTTTCAGATTACTGTACTTGTCGTGTTCATTCCAACTTGATAGCATTTTTGTAGTCTACAGTATTTACAATCGAACCATCCGTTATTATTCACCAGCGACTGACATTTGCCACCCTTTTTGCACGCTTTCACATTCGTTTTGCACGCATCGGCACGTCTGAAAATAAATTTAGTCATAAAATTTGAATTTGGGTCGTCGAAAGCTTCAAAATGAGCCTAAACACGACTATATTTGCATAATTTTGAAATTTTGAAGTTTTCGTGGTGAGACCCAGAAAGTGTAAAACTACCGTAACTCGGCTATTTTTTGACCAAATTGAAAAATTGTAGCATATTTGAATTTGGCTTGTTTAGAGCTTCAAAATGAGTATAAACATGACTAGATTTGCATAATTTGGAATTTTTCAAAACTTTGGGTCCCACCACGAATCTTCCAAAAAAAATCAAAATCATGCAATTATAGCCGAGTTTAGGCTCATTTCAAAGCTCTAAATGTGACAATTCTGAAAATTCATTTTTCACAAAAATCGGACCTAAATTAGCAGAGTTACTGTAGACTCAACATTTTTGGGCTTATTTTTTTACCAATTTTCGAAAACACCTCTTAACTTTCTTCATTTTTATCGAATTTTTGAAATTTTTGGCTTATTAGATAGAAAATTTTATGGGCTTTAAAATGATAGTAAATTCACCTATAAAATGCTGCACATGCTCTACAGGCGATTGCTCCAAAATGCTTGCCCTTGGCCGGTTGGTCACAAACAGAACAAGTCAGGTCCCCAGATTCGTCCTGTGACGATGACGGCGAATCGCTGTTGGGCATTTTGTCTGAAATTTGAAATTTTCAGATGTAAATAACAAAAAATGGCTGAAAAATTCCATAAAAAATTTTTTTCAAAACAAAACTTTTTTTTAAAAAATTTTTTTCCAAAATTTTTTTTGCAATTTTCGAAAACAATAACACTGGGTGGGCAGAGTTTTCTCGAAGGAAAAATGCGATATCAGGATTATCAAGTGATCATTTTGGAATCCTCCTACATGTTATGCATCTGACTAATTGAATTTTTCGGGATTTTAGGATTTTCGGAAAAATGTAATCTTGGATTTTTAGAGATTTTTAAAGATTTCCGTCTGCCTGGGAGGAGAAAAATACTTTTTCAGACGTCATCATGAATTTTTGAACTACACAGAATTTTTAGAAATTTAGAATTCATAAGAAATTCAGAAATTCAGAAATTCAGAAATTCAGAATCTAAGAATCTAAGAATCTAAGAATCTAAGAATCTAAGAATCTAAGAATCTAAGAATCTAAGAATCTAAGAATCTAAGAATCTAAGAATCTAAGAATCTAAGAATCTAAGAATCTAAGAATCTAAGAATCTAAGAATCTAAGAATCTAAGAATCTAAGAATCTAAGAATCTAAGAATCTAAGAATCTAAGAATCTAAGAATCTAAGAATCTAAGAATCTAAGAATCTAAGAATCTAAGAATCTAAGAATCTAAGAATCTAAGAATCTAAGAATCTAAGAATCTAAGAATCTAAGAATCTAAGAATCTAAGAATCTAAGAATCTAAGAATCTAAGAATCTAAGAATCTAAGAATCTAAGAATCTAAGAATCTAAGAATCTAAGAATCTAAGAATCTAAGAATCTAAGAATCTAAGAATCTAAGAATCTAAGAATCTAAGAATCTAAGAATCTAAGAATCTAAGAATCTAAGAATCTAAGAATCTAAGAATCTAAGAATCTAAGAATCTAAGAATCTAAGAATCTAAGAATCTAAGAATCTAAGAATCTAAGAATCTAAGAATCTAAGAATCTAAGAATCTAAGAATCTAAGAATCTAAGAATCTAAGAATCTAAGAATCTAAGAATCTAAGAATCTAAGAATCTAAGAATCTAAGAATCTAAGAATCTAAGAATCTAAGAATCTACAGAATCTAAGAATCTAAGCAATCTAAGAATCCAAGAATCTAAGAATCTAAG